TAATAGAGGTGGGAGTGATGACACTCAACCGAAATCCTATCAATTTCTTTGCAGAAGTGGAACAGATAGCCTTCTGTCCCGCAAATCTGGTGCCCGGTATTGAACCCTCACCTGACCTACTATTAGCCGGAAGACTGTTCTCCTATTCAGACACTCAAAGATATCGGTATTTATAGATCATATATAGTATAAACACTGGTATTTTATAAAAGTGATTAACTTTTTATATAATATAGTTTGGGCGCAAACTTCCATTTACTTCCCGTAAACAAAGCCCACAATCGTGTGATGGCACCGACACAACGGGACGGCCCCATGCGATCGGACGACAATATGGGCCCTCAACCTAACTATTATCCCAATTCATTCTCGGACGTGAGAGATGACCCTAAAATGTTGGAGTCTAACTTCACAGTTAACGGTAATGGTGGTAATGGAGTGAATGATCATGTAGTGGTGTATCGATATGATGACAAGAATGACCACAACTACGAACAGGCCCGAGACCAGTATAATAGCTACAGTAAGGAGTGGAAGGAAAGGCTGCACAGAAACCTGGCCACCGCTATGAATGGTGTGCACGCCTTCATCAGAGACCGCACTCTCGAAGAGCTCCGAAAAGTGGATCCTTTGTATTCGAACGGAGTCCGCACTGAAATCAATAGATTGGCCAAAAAGTTGGCAAATTAAACAATACCACTGCATGATAGCTTTATTTGATATAATCAATAAATACAGCATATTTTTAACCTATTAAAATATTTTAGTTAGTTATTTAGGAGTTATGAAATATTTATTTTTCCATTTAACTGGTGCGTCTAGATTTAACTTGTTGTTAATCTTATGACTATTTATTATGATTGGTTTTCTTATTTTTCCTAAATTTAATTTTTAAATAATTCGTAAATATTTATCAGTTTCCAATTTTTGATTAAAACCTTGAGTGCTTCGTGAGTATCAAACAGGTACTAAGAATAATAAAATTAGACAACATTTAAATTATCA